GCGGACAGAAGATGGTCAGCGTCATACATCGATTCTCGCTTCTTCGTGCCTATTCTTCATTGTCGTCGTCTTCATTTTCTGTTTCACTTCCTGAACACGCGTGCCGATTTCTCCGGCGGGGAATGCTATAACCCTCATGGGTGAGACGCTAGTACAGAAAGAAAGAAACAAGGAAAGAAAGAAGAAAAGAAAGGAAGAAAGAAAGAAAGAAGGAAAGAAAGAAGGAAAGAAAGAAACAGACAAGCAAAGAAATATATAAATAAATAATTATGAAAAGAAAGAAAGAAACCATAAAAATACCCAAGACAAAAAAGTTCTTCGCGAGGCCCAATTTACCCGAGAACCTACAACCCGAAGGCGAGTGCCTTAACGAGCCGGTTATAGATGAATGCTAACAGAAGGGCAGGTGTGAAGTTGAAGAAAGCAAGGAGGAAGGGAGAGAGTAACTAATAGCATAGAAACAAAAGCTAAGGGATAGATACAAAAGATGCACGGCGTAACGGAAAGCAGAAGAAGAGAGAACCAAAGAAATGGAGAGAAAAAAGAGAGTGAAAAAAAAGGCAGAAAATAAGAGGAAGCAAGAAATACACAAAAAGAGAAAGTGAAAGATAAGAGAAGAATGATAGAAAGACCGAGAAGAGAAGGAAATCGGTAGAGAGAGAGAAAGAAAGAAATAGCAATAAACAGAAATAAATAAGACACACAGAAACAGAAAAAAGAGAGGAAGACAAATAAATAGAGAAAGACGAAAAAAAAATAGCAAACCTTGGCAGAACAGCGACCGCCAAGATTTTCTAGATAGCCATCAGCACCGCTTTCTCTTTGGCATTGTACCTTCAGTGCAAGCTACGATAATTTTTTAACAATTCAGTTTTTTTTAAATATAAAGATACTACGACACTCAGGCACTTGTTTTCTTCGCATACAAACTCCATGCCGTGTATGTGTGCTGAGTGGTGTCTTTCCTGCAACAAAAATATGCGCGCCCGAAAATGCATCTCGCGCCCCGTCATGAGGTTCGTGCTCCAACTCGCCGTAATATCGCGGCGTGCTGCTGGGATCACAGCGTCTGCTGTGGTTTACATGTAATTTTTTGTTGCTAGCGGTGAATTACATTGCTCTAAAAAGAAGCGAGAAGTTTTACATGGTACGTAAAAGAAAATTTTATTCAATCAGTGTGTTCGAAATCCAAAAATAAGATCTTTGAAACGCTAAATGTCTAAGTGGCATTAGGGAATTTCTATGCAAAACACAAAAGTTGATCTTGGACCTTAAAGGAGGTCTGCAACACTTTTTGAGGACGATCTAGGAAACGTTTCCGAATGGCGCGCGGGGCTCCAGAGAACATTTCAGCCTAAAATTATGGCGCAGCATGTCGCCCGTATACATAATTATTCCGAAGTCATCTAGAAGTCACTAGCACAAATTATGCCATAACCCAACGTTGCCGCGTCCGATAAACACAAAATACACAATCATTGGCTCATTTGAGCTTCGTGAGCTGTTGTGCATCTACCGTAGTTGCTGCAACGTGCCGGCGGACGCGGCAACGTGCATGCCCGATCGTTCGCGATCTGAGTGAAAGTAGTAGAGCGCTCCAAGAAAAAAGTAAAGAAAAAAAGAACTGTGCAAGGTCATGACGCGTGCTGACGAACGGACGCAGCCTCCCTTGTTAGCCGCATCCCTCGCCTCATTTAGCTTTCAGTGGGCTCACTGATATGAAAGAAAGGAGAAAGCGCTTAAAGCGTGCGACGAAGTCCTGTCCACCCTGTCACCCCACTCGTATACTTGAAGAATTAAAGAAAAGGTGCTTGCTGTAGTGGATTCGTGAGGCGATAAACTCTTTGAATGAAGTCGTTCGACGAATTGTTGTAAAAAAGTTACAGGGCCCCTTTATTTTTTCTAATTTAATTAAGAACGTATAATGGCGAAATAGCAATGATAACTTTCTCAAACTACAACTTATTATTAAAAACTTATTAAGCATTTCGCTATCATGTCCACTTAAGAAGATCAGCCCAAACTGCGTGCCACATTATAGGCACACGAGTTTCGTCACATATGGGAACAAGTCTCGCGACATCACAAAATAGCCCTTTGCGAACAGTTTCTTGAAGTATTTATCTGCACACACATATGAAATAACAGCGACTTGAAGACATGGCACCAGCTTGGCGAAAAACACGCAAAGCGTCTCAACGCATTGGTTTAGTTAGGCACTGGCAAGCTCTTGAGGTAACCGTCAGCGTTCAGGAAAGTCGGCCACGTGTCCGATTGCGCTTGCTTGGACGCGCGACACGCTTGACTGCGTTCTGTATATCTGATCAGTCAAGTGTCCGTGACGTTGTTCAAAGCATCTGGCTCCAGTACATAGAGGTGCATTGTTGGAAGTCTAACCGTTATTTATGTTTATCCGGTGCGCGCGCTGCGCTGTGATGACGCCACATGCGTGCATGTTTGTGATGTTACTCACTGCGAGATAGCGTTGAAATCACACATGGTATCCGGTGTTGCAATGTGTGGCATTGACTGGGACTCTAGGTTTTAGTTATGGTCTTTCACGTAAAGGGCTGATTCTAAAAGAAGGGTCGTGAAAACACGGAAGTGAATACTCACCACATACAGCTCAACTCACTATTATTCGAGAGGATTGAGTTAAAGCTGTAGAAGTGCTATCCCCCCCCCCCCCCAGAAAAAAAAACTATTTCATTTGTTATCCCGTCACTGTATCGTTTCGGATTACGAAAAAAACCTATTTTATTTCTTGCAGAATCAGAGCTGGACGACAGCCCTTATTTGTGGTTTTCCGACTCCACCATCGCAACATAAGTCATGCCCTCACTACACCGTGAACGAAAAAAAAAGATCTACCCGTCGTACCTCACCTGCATGTCTTCTATAGAATATTACAGCGGAAGCTGTATATGGATAAGGAGAAAGGAAAAAAAGATTGGCAGATTCCACGTATAGTGAGAATCGATGATACGCGAAGCATGAAAGAGGAAGGTTGATATGTCACTTTAAAATGAGGACAACTTTACGAAGCGGACGTAAATTTCACCGTACATGACTATTATATCATGATTCTGATGTTTGCGCCTGGCATTTGTGTTAATCGTTCATTCACGTCACGTAACACCCAATTTCGGATATGTGATGCTAGTGAAATGGCCCCAAGCGCATCATGAGTGTGGCATGTAGTCATGTTCTTACATAACACGAACCTCATGATTATCATGTTTACACCAGTGCAATACGTTTGTTGTCCGTTCAGGTCACATAACACCAAATTCAGTACATGTGCAGCAGACAAAATGGCCCCAATCGTATCATGAGCGTGGCGTGTAGTCATCACTTACATGACAGGCATGTCGTAATTTCCACGTAAGGGTCTGTCACTTATGTTCGCCATGCAGTGATATCATCCCATACCAGTTTTGCAACATGTAATGTCAACGAAACCACCGCAGAAGATGCAAGACCACGAAATATAAATCATCACATTCATGGCATACATGTCATGATTTTCACGTTACAACTTCCCCCTTATGCTCGCCATATAGTCATGTTATGGTACCAATTTTTGTATCGATGTCATTATCTAAACGGCCAAGAGAGATTACACTTGTAGGCATATAGATAGATAGATAGATAGATAGATAGATAGATAGATAGATCGTTAGATAGATAGATAGATAGATAGATAGATAGATAGATAGATAGATAGATAGATAGATAGATAGATAGATAGATAGATAGATAGATAGATAGATAGATAGATAGATAGATAGATAGATAGATAGGGTAAAACTCGCTGAAGTTCGATAGGAAATGCTTTGCATTTAAAACTGTGGTTTTTACTCGCCAGCTTGTAATTCTCGGGCTGGAAACCGGGGCTCATCCGTTGAAAGCTTCAACGGTCGCTTCGTTTTCCCGAAGTCACTTAAATACGCTTGGCGAAAGCCTTTGAACAGGTCAAAATAAACAGATCGAAGGAGAGTGTGTCGGCTGGCAGTGGCTCGAAATATTTACAGGGAAACGAAACAGTGCGAGACACATCCAAATGCACCTCGAGCCGTTACCTGCCATCGCTACCGTTGGCCGCAGTATATATTGAAATGAGGATAATGATGCCGAAAGGCTGCTGATAACTACAAGTTAGCTGAAGCAAAAAACTATTAAAAAGAACGATGACGCCACACATGTTAAACAAAACTACTTGGCATAAGAACAAACTGTTTTTTTAGGTGTAGCGTTACGCAAAGATGTAGTATTCGATCATTTTAGAATTGAAATTCGGCTCTGACGAGGGCATCCCTACAGGAAAGTTCAATAGCGCGAACGGCGGCGCCCATGTGATGCATAACGCAGAGGTCAGTAGATCCATTCCGGGTGTTTGAAGCCGGAATGTGCCGCGGTTGATTTTTTCGCTCCCGACAGGGGATCAGTAGAACTTGAGAGTCTCCGGGGCCTGACGTCGTTTGCTACCTGCAAGAAGGTCGCTCATTCGTTCATATCCAGGCAACAATGCAATGTGGCAAAGGAAACCAAGAAATCGTTATGAAATATGGGATTTACACACTCAAAGCTTCCAACTCATGTAACCAGTGCAGCCAACGCAATGCATTCTAAAGACGGGGGAGACAGAGAGGGAGGAGGCGGAGGCAGCAGAATCACTCGCCAGCGCAGTTTAACTGCGCTGGCGAGGACACGCGACAACCTGTCACCGGGGTGAGCAGGGTTTTGACCTTCGAGTAAAATTCGCCATACGAGGAGCGAAAAGTCGCCAGAAGTCGCTATTTTTTTAAAATTTCACTAAAAATGACACCACTGCACACATGTGTGACGTGCGTAGTATTAAAGATCCAATTATATATGGCCCCGTAGTGCACAGTAGCGTTAATAAACCCTAAACTATATTGACGTTTTTCAATGCTAGTAACATCACCCGCTTCAACATGAGGGGCTTAGTGTGCTTGGAGTCACATAAACCGCTTTACCCCGGAGGCACTGAAAGGTCATGCAGGCACCGTCAGCGTCCCTAAATGCTAGCGCCTCATAACCAAAGTTTGCGATCGTTTCAGTTGTAAGAAATCAAAGCGAACCAGTCGCTGCAACAAGAGAGGGACTGCGTGCGTAGCCTTCCTGCAAACTTAAGGGAATTTCATTGCAGTGGAAACATGTGTCCGATAATCAAATACCTTAATTACAAAAGAACGAACACAAATTTGGAAGTACAGCGGAACCGTCGCAATACCCACACCATGCTTTCAAGGTGGGCATGGTTACTCTACAGTCCCCTCAGTGCACTTTTTGAAGGCTTCCCAAATAAGCGGGCTTCTTCGCTGGCCCGAAAAGTATGTTAATAAAAAATTTAAACTCTACATACCGAGTTACAGCAGGGCACAAGCGGACAAGCTATTTGGGGCAAGTGAGGCTGTGGTTAGAACACGTGGCCTAATCGTCACCTAGCCACTTCAGAAGCGAAACTTTAAAAAAGCTTTGAGTGTGTAAAGTACCTAAGAAACATTATTATAACACCACCACCTGGCGGTACGCGAAGTAGTTCGCTTACCTAAGTTTTGCGGGGAGTATTTTGGTGGACGCGCTAGTGGGCCAGTGCCTCAAACATGTAAACGAATTGAGGAGTTACAGACGAGAAAGAGGACAGACGTACTGAATCGCAGGCATAGTGCACCTCGTACTGACGGATCTAAAACTACGAAAAAATATAAAAAAATATTGTCGCCCATCCACTTAGAAAACACTGTGTATATAATGCTTAAATCAGTCGAGACCTCCGCAAGAAATCACCAAAAATTCACCATGTCGCCATTCATAATTTTCAGTCGCAGCAAAATTTAGCCATGTTGCCATTCATAATTTTAGGTCACCATGGGCCTGTTAAATTCACCAATTTGGTGGAAAGTTGTGACCTGTGGCAACCCTGGGGGTGAGAGGGGTACCCTATAGCCACATCGACGCCGGGCGGCAAACATGCGATGTGTATGGTGTATACGGCGGCGCGTTCGACACGGAGGTCAATCAAAACGCGTTTCACGACAGTTCCATAACACCTGCGAAATTTCAACTCTTTCTTTATGTGTGTACCGTCCAAAGAAGTTCAAGTGAAAGCTTGAAGCGGATTAGCATGTCAGAACTTTTTTGACTCCTTTATTTCTTGGAGCGTGGGTAAAAAATGAGATGCGACTACCTTTTTGTGTATTGATCAAAATACTAACGAGGAGTGAACTTAATTCGGAGTCCACTCCTAGGCCTGAGCACCATTTCAGTGACCATCTCGACTTGGTCTCGTTGATCCAATGATTTGATTGTGAAGCGTCGCAGAATGTTCGCAAGGACTATCTTCTCTTCGGTGAGCGCAAATTTTTGTCCTGTGAAAAGAGAAGTTGTTTCGTTGAATCGCACATAACTCAAAAATAAACATGTACAAAGATCACAGAAGACGATCTACATCATGATACATCTTCTCGAGCACAGAAACACATAGACGTAGTAAAAGAAAAAGACACGAAGGACAGCGGTTTGCAATAACACTGGTTCACAGGAAGACTAGCGCTCTTGATGTCTTTGTCTACCCATCAAAGGACGTTGACAGATTTTGTTTTTAGAACCCTTCGTGAATTAGTCATTGTTCGCTCTGTATGCCATAGCTAATGAATGAATCTATAAACTTTATTTGATGTTCCTTCGGGTTAGGAGGGGGGAAGAAAAAGTTGACCCCTGCCCCATCCCTCCCTCTGTCGATGATGATGGCTCACTACACCAATCCCTGGCTACACCACTGACTCCACCCATACGTTTTTGTCGGCTTGAAGATTTATGATGCAATTCATAGATAATTAGTCCGGTAATTTATGCTTACTAAAGAATATTTTGATGCATTACCTATATTGTACCATTATGTAGGAATCAACGAAAAACACTTGTTTAACACGAATGATGAATCAAGAATATAAGATAATGCTGAACTTCTTTTGCCACGATACTAGTCATTTTGTAGGCGTATAATGTAGGCATGTCAATGGTGAACAAACGCAGAGCGAGAATGAACCCTAAGGCAAAACGGGGCATTGTTATAATTAGCGTTGCGAGTCATTCGAATAAGTAACAAAACGACCTAGCGAAGAGCGCATAGCCTTCTAATCAAGCTGGTCTTGTGCACTGTCTCTCATGCTGAGAGTTCCAATCAGGAAATGTTATAATGCGCACCTCTTATGAGGCACAAAGACAAGCTTAACGAAAACAAAACTGTAGAACTCCACATGTCACATGTGAAGTTGGCATCGCGATACGGGTAGCACAGACATATAATAGCTGAGTTCCGCACTATTTCAGTACTAATATCAATATTTGGTACGTTTTCTCATTGATAAATGAATCGAAAATTTATTTTTTTATTTTTTTTGCTTGAGTGATTATTTATTGCAGTTCCCGGAAAACGACAGGAATACTGCAGTTTATCATAATATTATTCGCCTTTGATCTATTATGCTCTTCCAGATTAGATTTACCTCTACACAGAAGGCCCGTCCGACAGATCATTCGTATAAATAACACCTCAGCTGTTGGCGACTTGTCCACCCAGACGCAAAAATCATTCGGGATCAGAGCTACCGATGGTTTGTGCTTTACAATCGATATGATTTCATTTGCTCACCGATGCAGTTTCGTGGTCCCGCAGAGAATGGAACGTAAGCGAACGGGTGCCTTCCCTTGGAGTTTTCCGGGAGGAACCTCTCTGGGTGGAATTCTTCCGGCTTAGGAAATACCTCGGGATCCCGATGCAAGAAATAGGCTGACATTTGAACTATCGTTCCGGTAGGCAGAGTGGCTCCATCTTCGGAGGCAAGTCGTGTGTGACATATGCAAGAGAGTGAGGAAAAATAGTTATTAGAACTTGCTGATGGGCTGCTTGCACAACCTGGTATTCCTTCATTCAGGAACGCATTCACACACCTATACACACAAGAACACACTCTACGAACAGCGCTTACTACCAATTGCATTCTGCATGACATAACCTATATTAAATGCGAAGCATTTCTTAGAGGACTTCGGTGATCTTGAGCCTATCTATCTATCTATCTATCTATCTATCTATCTATCTATCTATCTATCTATCTATCTATCTATCTATCTATCTATCTATCTATCTATCTATCTATCTATCTATCTATCTATCTATCTATGACTTTTAGCTCTCCAGGCTGTTTCTATAATGGTATTGATACTAAAATTTGTACGGCATAACATGACTGTATGACAAGCATAAGTGACAAGTCATAACGAGAAAATCATCATAAGTATGTCATGAATGTCATCATTTACATTTCATGGGCTTCCAGCTCTTGCGGTAGTTTCGATCACATGACATGTTAGAAAACTGGTATGGTATGACATCACTGCATCGCGAACACAACTGACAGACCCTAACGTGGAAATCATGATATGCATGTCATTACTACACGCCATGCTCATGGTGCGCTGGCATTCGTTTCACTAGCTTCTCATATACCAAAGTTGGTAATACGGGACGTGAATGCATGACGAAAATATATGACTAGTGTCAACATGATAATCATGTGACGCGTGTCAAGTAACATGTCTACATTCCACGCTCGTGATGCGCTAGAAACAGTTTTTATTACGTGATGCGAATGGACGGCATAGGTAAATGACACGTCCATACAAGATAATATGCACCAAATTCAGTATTACGTGATGCGAATGGACGGCATAGGTAAATGACACGTTCATACATGATAATCATGACATGCGCGTCAAGTAACATGACTGAAGTAACATGACGTCAAGTAACATGACGTCAAGTAACATGCCACACTCATGAAGTGCTCGTGACCGTTCACACACATATCGTCTTTTTAGCATTACCAGCAAGCTGGCGCAATGAACGCGCGTCGCCACATCGTCACGGCGCGATGGTGCGCGCTCTCATATCCCACGCGTACTTTGCCCCCCAGAGAGTAGAAGGTGGACGCTCACTTGCGCACCGTCATCTTGCGGTGGAGAAGTTCGTACCTCTTGGCTAGCCTGTGGCTTTCGTCGGAACGGTTCTTTTGTAGTTTCCGGGCGCACAAAGCTCACTGCAATCGTTGCACAGTCTCCGTTCGCGAAAACAGCGCGCTTTTCAGACGCAACGAAGTCAGAACTGAGACACTTATTTGCGTTCATCAGTACCTGTGAGTACGTTTTGTGTGTTATTTGTGCGTGACAAACGTGGGGCACGTTTCTATCTGCTTGCAATACACCACGTGACCTTCCAATTTGTTGCTATCGCATTCATTGCTTCGCCTTTATGGCAAAGCTGCGACGTTTTTTTTTACTTATACGATAATGCGAACACAGACCGACAATAATGCGCTTGCGCATTGGTGAACCTCGAAATGCATAAATGGCATGGTTGATAATTGCGCATGAACATCGCTATTGGTCATTGTGCTTCCGCATCATTGTATGAGTATGTAGCACCCTGAAACGCAGTTCCAAAACGCAGCACTGTTTATTAAGGCATCTCCGCCATTGTTCCTACTACCTCCTCTTTCTCTTCAGCAGACAACCCACTACCAGTTCATGTCCCAAGCGTTTCGTGCCAGAAGAAGAAGGAAAGTATGCCACGAGCAAAGCTGGACAAAGATACCTTTACGATAGAAGAAACTTGGGCAAAAAGTATTGAAGATACAGATAGCGGATACTGCCACGAAAATTGCATCTGATGTGACACTTGCCACTTGTATCTTAGATACATTCGCGAATTCGTACATTCCCAAAATCTAGTAGCGAACCCGTATTCACAAAATGACGTCTTGAAAATTTTCAAAAAGTGGCCAATTTTGATTTAATGAAACGATCAGTGGTGTCTGATAAATTTTGTTCCACAAAGAGCGCTCACTATTGGCAGTGAGCACTCTTTGTGGCGGCTCTTTTTGCGTGTAAAAGTTTCAAAAAATTCCCATTTTTGTTCAGTACCCAACACTGAAATGAGTTTCAACAGAACTTACCGATTTCAAATGGTTCCTGGCATGTTCTGCCAATCATTGGCACAGACGGGTATATGCGCTGAGCTTCCTGAATTCGGGTAAAAAGTAAAATTTATAGCATCGTATGATTTCTTTGTTGGCACTGTATACCTTGACTACGCACTCCAGGTACTTCATCTGTCTTATGTCTGAGAAGCTGACGTGACGCTCTTTGTCGTCTTCGAAGATTTGGTCTAGTTCTTCGTGAATTTTGTGTTGTTCCTTCGGATGGTGACCTATAAGAAAAAGCGCCCAGCTGATCCCCATCGCTGTTGTATCGTGACCCTGGAAGCAAAAAAAAAATGCCAATATGTGTCACCATTCTGTTTAGGCAGCGTTCTACCGCTGCGCAAGACGTTTCCTAGGGGTGGGAAGTCAACAAGTAAAACGGTTGTAAAGCTGCGCCATACACGCAGATCGTGCTTTCTAATTATCGAAGATCACCTTATTTACCTTTCCATGGCTTCTTATATCTAGGGATTCTTCCCTAGTGCGTATAGATTTTATACTTTTTCTTACTTTATTATATCGACAGGCTATGTCAGAAGTTCCAAGCCGAAAAGCTTCATAAGCCTTGTCAACCCTCACTCTATACCTGTGAACAACTGTCTCCCTTCACAACCGGATCCGGCGAAATTCTGGCACCACGCGTGGGCTACGCTGTGCCCGGATCGGCATTGGCTATCTGTTGTAGTAGGTGGTGTCATGTCTCAAAAAAACAGGTGACCCGATCTTGTCTGTGTTGTTCATTTGTGTTTCAGTGCACTTACAAATGCTGAATTGGCAACCGGCTTGCCCATGCCCCGAATAACTTTATGTAGGGAATCGTTTGTAATGTCTTCAAAAGTGCGCAGCCACACCTCGTTAATGACTCCGGATTTTGTTTTCATGACACGTCGACAGCACATAGCTCGTGAACTAAGAGGAGCGTGAAGCAGTGTTCTAATCCACACTCATTTTTTTTATAGCGTAAACTGTTCTGAAACTAACAGCCGATTTTGGTGACCACTTTGCCTATCTTCACTGCTTCAGCTGCCGCTATCGCACACACAAGGTAACGAAAATAAAGCAGCACCCAGCCGGCATCTCACCCATGCAATCTTATTTGATTGATATGTGCGATTTACGTCTCAAAACCAGCATATGATTATGGAAGACGCCGTAGTGGAGTGCTCCGGAAATTTCTACCACCTGGGGTTCTTTAACGTGCACCCAAATCTGAGCACACGGGCCTACAACAATTCCGCCTCCATCGGAAATGCAGCCGCCGCAGCCGGTATTCGATCCCGCGACCTGCGGGTCAGCAGCCGAGTGCCTTATATAGTCAATAAACCGCTGCGGCTGGGCCACTCATGCACTCTGCGTAACAGTCAAGTGTTCAACCATGGAAGAGCCCTGTCAGGTCTTGAACCATAAACGCAAAGGTACCCTTTACAAGCCTCCTGTCAGGCGAGGAATCGCGTCAACGGAGTAGAATCGCACCAAATGTCACATTATGCGAAGTGATTAACAAGTGGGTGATTTAAAGCAGAGGTGTATAAACACTTGAATAATTGAGTACGCATCGAATAGTAGCCCTTTCAATGGATCGATTCGCGAATTGAATATCGACTATTTAGTTTCTCGAATATAGTCACCACTCGATAATTCCATCATTACAATGGTTTCGCGGTACCCTCATTCTATCATCTTCAAACAAAACTACTTTCGTACTGTGCTATAGTTTGTGAATTTAAATGAGCCCTTAATGCGATAATTCCCACAGTTTACATGACATCAAATAAGCATCTTCCCACTCGGTGAAGTATGCTGTGGACAGAATGCTGATGACATCCAGGCTTTTAGGGTGTCTATAATTGATATCGCAATAAAAGTGTAATTGTGATGTGAAACACTAAAGCCAGTAAGTGGGGCTTTTTGAATTGTGCATCACACATATATTTTTATATATATACTGCCTATAAATGTTTACATTGGAGACACATGTTGTTCCTGTAATCATTACGAGAGCTAATTAAAAAAAATTTAAACCTTCCTGAGGTTCAACTTCTGTTTAAGCATGTGCTGCTGTAAATATTTTTTGTTGTTGTTTATGTTCCATGTACGCCTAAGTGAAAAAAGGAATTTCGGAGTGCTCGTTTTTCACCATCATGTACAAAAACCAGCAGATGCTGAAGCCAGGATAGGTAAGGAGGACGTTAGTTATTTTAAGTGTGTTGTAATAAGAGTGATATAGATGTGAAGAAATTAAAGGGGATGAAAATACAACTTCAGTAGCAGGACGAAAATGATCTCAACTATGTTTTAGTCGGCAATACTTCAGTATAACCGTTTCATTACCTTTTACCTTCATGGTTCTTTCGTCTGGAAGTGCAAGTTTTTAGCACACTGAAACACAGTCAGTGGTCGCAATGTAATAAGTCAAGAAAGGAAAAGAAGACAGCCTCTCGTTTGGGCACGAAGCCACAATGGAATGCGTATGGATTTTTCAGAAAGCAAAGCCTCGTAGTTGCCGAAAATTTGTCCTGGTATGAGACGAACCCATCCGCCGCCATGTGGGTTGTCCGCAGTACTCTTTGCAATGCCATTAGTGCTCAACAGTACGCTATGTTGGGCCAGTTGGTGCATGGTTACGTGAAGGACGTGCAGGTACATCAAGCCTAAAAACGAGAAGAACAAAGGTGAGACAGAAAGAGTGCAAACTCACAACTAAGTTTATTTTCCTGAAGCATTCGCTTTATAAAGTCTCTTCTAGGATATGCGCACAACTCTTTCACTAACTGCGCCTGCAGGAAAGACCAGACAACTAATAAACCTCAAACCACAATGTCACAAGCTGCCACTATGGTGTTACCGGCGTGAAGTCGGCGGCGGGAATGACAGCAGGTTAGTTCGTTCCGTACGCAAGCAAAAGCAGTGAAGAGATGAGATACGTGTGTGGGCAAACGAAGTGATAGTTTGAGTACACTTGTATGTGACACAAGGAATGCAATACTTTAAACAACTACAAGCATACATATATAAAATGACAAATGAGCTTCTAAACCACAAGTATTATTAGATACAAAATTCACATTCAATGAAACAAATATTTGAATAAATAACGAGTAGTTAAAATCGCCAAGGTTCAAAAGTGTTAACAGGGAATGGCCTACGTTCAATAATCGGCCGCGTTGAATTCGCAACAATCGAATGCGAGAATTCCCAAAGAATTTCCAACGCTGATACTCCGGAAGCTGGGGCTTGACGATGAACCCAGGCAGGCTGAGGTAAATTGAGTGTAACCTTTGATGTCTACGTGGAAGACGTTCTTTACGCGTCTCAGCTACACGAAAGGGCCAAGTTCAGGTGGCCAGCCGATACAAAGCCACCAAAAAATTTGGCAGATCCCACGTACAGTGGGAATCGATGATATGCGAAGCACGAAGAGGGAAGGTTCGTATGTCACTTTAAAATTAGCGCAACGTTACGAGGCGGACGTAAATTATGTCTTACATGACTTTTATGTCATGATTATCACGTTTAAACGTATTATTTACCTTCATCGTCTACTCACGTCATGTGATACAAAATTTGGTATATGTGGAGCTAGCGAAACGGCCGCGAGCACGCTGTGAGCGTAGCATATATACTCATGTTTCACATGACACGCATGCCATGATTATCATGTTTGGACATGACATTTACTTTCGTCGTCTATTCCCGTCACGTGACACCAACTTTGATATATGTGGAGCAAGCGGTGTCTTTCCCTTTACTTTTTCTTTCTTACATTTTCATATATATAGATACGCATACATATACGGTGAGGGACGGCGAGGCCGTGCACGCTTACGCCAGCGGGGAAATTCAGTCGAGAGTGTTTATATAATTGCTATCGCAATAAAAGGTTGCGCATCGGCACCATGTGCAGGGCCCCGCCACGGTGGTCCAGTGGCTTAAGTACTAGGCTGCTGACCCACAGGTAATGGGTTGAAATCCCGGCTGCGGCGGCTGCATTTTCGATGGAGACGGGAATGCCGTAGGCCCATGTGATCAAATTTGTGTACACGTTAAAGAACCCCAGATGGTCGAAATTTCTGGATCCCTCCGCTACGGCGTGTCTCACCATCATACGGTGGTTTTAGGACGTTACACTTCATATATCATCATCACCATGTAGAGGGAGTCTTCGCTCCTACAGCTTTTGAGGCTCTGTAAACACGCACATACAAGAACCCCATCGTGATGTGCCACATATATCCCGACGTCTGTAGTTTTAATTTTTACCAGTACTCTACCACCAGAGCCAGTGTTGACTGTATCCTATGGGAATGTTCAGCATTAATCAGGAGTTATGTGGTCACGGCCTCCAATGAAAACCTTCGGGCGCGTTGGCGGACTTCGCTGTTCAGTTAGGGTGTGAACAAACAACTCTGGGCGATCCAGCAGGCCAAGGGAGCTGTCGCGAGAGATGGTCCATTCGTTATCATTTAGGTGGCCAGCCCATCAATCTGCCGAAAATAAATAAAGTTTAAATCTTCCTCTATCTGTGCCCGCACATTTTCTAGAAAAGTCAAGGTGGCGTGCGACAAGACACACGCAAAGCGCATTCTGCGATTGGCCGTGGCGCGGTTTATAACAACCCCCTGAGCTGTGGAAAGCTATATATGAACCAAATAGGGCGCTGTACAAGTGAACACTTAAGACAGCAGTCCTTTTTAATTAAGACTGGAACAAGTTTTCATTTACACTACCACTGCACTTTGTGTGGCTATACCCCGCCGTTCGATAACACTGAAACTACTTCGAAGGAGCCGGGATCTGGTGGCTCTAGAGGTGCTGCATGCGTTTCGCATCAAAAAGACAGGTGATTCTTGCGTCGTCGCGCCTTCGGTTTTGTTGCAGAAAAGTGAATACCAACTGTTGGGTCACGGCGTTTCTGTGTTGGCTTTGTCCCGAAGTGCATGTAAGTATTTTTTCTCTGTTTTTCCCAGATGCTCTCCATGGTTTGAACAGTGCCCAGGTTTGGGTTTTTTTAAAGCTTTTACTTGACCACTTATTTGGTTTTGATATTCCCTAGATACTGTGGTTGCGATCTGAATTTGATGTCTTGTCTGGTTTTTCTGCACGCGCAGTCAGTCAAATAGGTTGGCACAAGTGCTACTAGAGGTTCTTTATTGCCAATGCTTTAGGAACTAAACTTAGGGGTGAGTTGGCACTCTTTCTGTCTCATCTTCGATGTTCTCGTTTTCGAGCTTGCGCCAGGTCTTTCAAGTAATCATTAACGCTTACAAGCAACGGTATAGATCACCTGTTCAGCGAACGCAATGAAGTGTTCGTGAACACTTCATAGCGACGATGCCATTATCCTTCAGAACGTAAACATGCTTTATGCTGAAGATAAGGAAATATTCTTTGGAGACTCTGTCAACTATCTGCTCAGCAAGGGGTTGATTGAGTACCTTGAAAACACCAGCCACATTGACGCCACATATTTAAGTCTTATTTACCCTGTTTTCAGATGCGAGAAACATGACGGTAACGCGCATACCGTGGGAAGATACTTAACGAAGACAGATTTTTGTGTTCAATAACAGCATTTTCATTTTTTAGGAGGGAGGGGGGCGTTATAACCAACAGGTTCCTGCATTTTCGGTGAATTCAAACAGTGTGCTAAACAAATACTACTGAAGCTATAATTAGTAATGATTACTTAGTCCCAGCTTCTGCTATCAAGGTGAAACTAGCAGTTTGAGAAAGAAAAACACATTTCAAAAGGTTATACTACACTGTGCAGCAAAAAAAAAACTTTTTATGAGGTACCCTGGCTATCAACAAACATATATGAAAAAGAAGATTCATCGTGGTGCCTTAGGTGCTCTTGTCCATCTTTCTCCTTCATTGTGCTGGACGTCGAAGGCATCGTGCGAGATAAGCCAACGCAAAATTTTGAACAAAGTACTGGCAGATTAAGCACGCATGCTGCAAGACCCCGATCACCACCGTCTTCACAGAAACTTCATTTAGGGCACTGGCAAGGTTTCGGACAAAACTTTAAACTTCTGAGTGTAAAAACGAGAAAAAGAGCTTCCTCCTAGAGGAATCAACTCACTTCAAACATGAAGGTGTCCACCTCTTCTCGTATGTCTTCTTTAGTGATGTACTGGTCATTCTTAAGATGTTCTACCAGGAGAAGATCCAGAAAAGGCCTCCTTCTTTTGGCCATAGCTTCAGATTCATTCGAGTGGTCGAGCTTTCTGGTTCCTTCGTTGACCTCTTTTTCCAACTCTTTCTTTCGCTCTTCAATCACCTAGTAAAAATAAGTTAATTTAATGGCTATTCACTGGTAAACACTTCCTTGAGTTTAGGCATGTATGCATTAGGTGGAATTGGTACCTGTTTTGCGTCATTATGATCGTATTTAACAGCGGGGAAAAATAGCTCTCGACCCAGCCCACCCGTGAGCACCACTGAGATGCTTCTCTCCTTTCTTGGTTCTGCGATACGGCGTTGATGAGATAGAGGCGTTTGGTCTGCAGAACGTGTAGTGTTTCACTTTTGCAGATCTTCAAAGTCCGCTGTGCTAAGCGCATTCATTCAAACTGCGCAGCAAAGACCTGTACAGTCTTGGGCTCTACAGGCATCAAACGGGAGCGGAAGAAATCGGAGCATCGTGCAGGCCTCGCAATGTCATCCTAGGCGGGTATGTACCCTCACCTTCTTCTGCTTCTTTGGTCAACCCCGGTAACGATATCAGTGCCATTTTTGGATAATTGGTGTGAAAATCGTTGTTATATGACTGGGGGAAACAGTGACAACATAATGCTCGCGCGTGTTGCCACCGTCTCCCTAGTGTCATCGACAGCTGCTGCTAAGCATTCTTTCCAAGGCAGAAGAGCAACACGGCCAGCGAATTTGAATGTCCGGCGATGCGATAAAACAAAAAATAGCAGATTCTACGTACAGTGGGAATCAATGATATGCGAAGCACGACTGAGGAAGGTTGAGATGTCCCATTAAAATGAGCACAACGTGACGAGGCGAGCGTAAATTATGATGTAAATGACTTCCACATCATAATCGTCATGTTTGCGCCTGTCATTTGTGTTTTTCGTCCATTCATATCACGTAATACCGAATATGCTATAGGTGAAGCTAGTGAAACGACTGCGAGTGCGCAATTAGCCTAGAATGTAGTCTTGTGTTACATGACAAAGTAATGATTATCATATTTGCACCTGCGATATACCTTCACATTCATTCACGTCACGTAATGCCAGACTTGGTATATGTGAAGCTAGTGAAAAGACCGCGAGTGCATCATGAGCGTGACATGTAGTCGTAATCTTACAAGACACATATGTCATGATAATCACGTTGGCACCAGTCACATACCTTCGTCATTCATTTACGTCACGTAATATCAAATTTGGGATGTCTGAAGCTAGCGAAACGACCGCGAGCGCACCATAAGCGTGGCGTGTAGTCATTACATGACACACATGTCATGATTTCCACGTGACCGCCTGTCACTTATGATTGTCGTGCACTCTTGTCATACCATACCATTTTTGTAATATGTGATGTGAACGAAACCACCACAGGAGCTGGAAAACAATGACATATAAATGGTGACATTCACGACATAGATATCATGATTTTTCTGTTATGCCTAATTACTTATGCTCGTTACAGAGTCATGTTTTGTCGTACCAATTTTGGTATAGATTCCATTATCCAAACGGCCAATAGAGCTAAAAATCACAGACAGACAGACAGACAGACAGACAGACAGACAGACAGACAGACAGACAGACAGACAGACAGATAGATAGATAGATAGATAGATAGATAGATAGATAGATAGATAGATAGATAGATAGATAGATAGATAGACAGACAGACAGACAGACAGACAGACAGACAGATAGATAGATAGATAGATAGATAGATAGATAGATAGATAGATAGATGGATAGATAGATAGATAGATAGATAGATAGATAGATAGATAGATAGATAGATAGATAGATAGATAGATAGATAGATAGATAGATAGATAGACAGACAGACAGACAGACAGACAGACAGACAGACAGATAGATAGATAGATAGATAGATAGATAGATAGATAGATAGATAGATAGATAGATAGATAGATAGATAGATAGATAGATATGGTCAAAGTCGCTGAAGTTTGCTACGCAATGCTTTGCATATAAAAAGTGTGTTTGTGTGTGTGTGTGCGAATAAATAAAGCGCAGCCTTTCGGCGTTTTCTTCCACAAAGTCCCTAGCGCAGGCCACCTTTTTTAGAACACGCAGTGTCATTAGTTGAATACTGAACTCATATGTTCACTTCACCGTACGTATACTGCAAATGCGTCATCTCTCTCACAAGGATAAATTCAAAATTATTCCCGGTTCCTTCGTACCAAGGCGTTCGTGAACAGCGCCACAATACATACTGGCTGTCAGTGCCGCAGTTTCTCACGGGCTATAGTTGTGAATTATATTTTTTTTTCTTTTTCTGTGCAGTGGCGTCAGCCTTTTCAGTCTTGATAGTCATGAGCTTTTTTGTATGTTCAGAAAAACTGTAGTTTTATGGTTAAATTACCACAAAGACAATAAGGTACCCAGGAAGATTTGTGCACGTGTAATAGATCTGTACTCCTCACAGAGTAAAACAGGAGTATTCATCGCCAACGAGGTGAATGTGACGCGTCCATTTGATCTTGACATAAAGTGCAAGCACACTTAGATATTGTATGGTGAATCTAAGAAACACACGGTCTGTATCGCGAAAACTTTTTTCTGACGTGAATATACGTCGCAGCACACTCGCACTGGGCATGGGTTGTAGTGATGATTGGTATACTTTCATGACACACCAAGCGCCAGTTTCCTGCGAGGGTTCGTTCACGCTAGAACTTTTTTTACTGGGTTTCTGTCGAGTGACTCGAAGCCAGCACAAAATGCAGCGAACGATTGAACAGCAGTGCGACATCATGTTGATTTAACGATACTCCTAGCGATACCCATATCGCCTTAGAGCCCCGACTTGGTATCAGCAGATCATTTACTATTCTCGAAAGTGATGTCCTCTCAAAAGGAATACGTTAATCTTTAAAGGGGCCCTGCGACACTATTTAAGCGTGCATTTTTCATCGGTTCTTACGGCGCTGTGGAACGCGCCAATATCATTGCTCAAATGGCAACGCCCAAGTGGACGCTGTTATAATTTTATTTCAAGGAAAAAAAACTACCTTGATTTCAAACTATAGCGACACACATTGGCTATTTTTCTTATAAGAAGTGGCGTAATGTCATGTGACGTGACGACAAACACCGTTCGCTTTTGATTAGCTGGACGCGAGAAAAAGCGTGCAATATTCATATGGTGGTAGCTAGTATATACGAGTGAATGCTAAAACAGCAAACACGTTTTTTGTATTTTCTCATGAAGAAATCATTCCTGTTTCTAAATGATGTATTTTGAGAACAACGAACACAACACAGCCTGCGAACGAGGCTATGGTACGCCAGCAAGCAACTAAAAGTGGAAAGGCATGCCGCGTTTTTAGCGAGCCAGAAATGTAAGGGGTGGTGGGCGCCGGCGTTGCCGTAGAACTAGTCTTGCATGCAAGCTGAGAAGTGACCCTGCCCAAAGTGTATGTGTGTATCTTGCACAGTGTGACCGTGGAAGCGTCTTCTACTCGACGCACGTGGTTCATAGCAACGTTTCTAGAACTAGTCTTCTAAAAACGTTGGTTCATAGTAACCATGCTAAACACGCCATGAAAAAGAGCGGTAGCAAGGTAGTGTGTGAAGGCCACCATGAGGTGACATTTCCGGAATGTCTTTGAGAGACGCATTCCGTGACTGGAAGCGGCCTTTGGCGTGAGCAGGCGAGCGAAATGAGAAAGACAGCGTTTCTCCTCGTCGTCCGCTCGAGTTTTGAAATTTTAGGACTACTAACTTCGCTGTCTATGCACCAATTTCCACCATTTTTGTTGCATTCGTCTCAGTATTCATTGCTACACGTCTTCCGGTGCTAGATAGGGGTGTTCCTAAAGTGTCGCAGGGCGCCTTTAAGGACCTTCTATAATCGGCATACCAGTCCCGTCAGGAAAAAGCTGTTGACAAAAGTGCCGACGCTCAATGAAGCACTTTTGAAGGTTTTTATGGCACCATGTTGTCACATCTCATAAAACTATGTTCCGAACGTTTTCGCGACACTGTTCATACAAACCTTCTAGCTATTCCAATTGTAGTGGAATAGCATCTCGTCACCGTTTTTGGCAGCAGAGGAAATGCAGCCGCCATGGCACACAGTGACGTCGGACGCTTTGTGCTTGTGTTTGCTAGTGGCGCTCGGAACGCCTCACGAAACGGAGCCTCGCGTAGACCAACACCAACAGCACGTTTAGTCATTGCATTTTCAAGTTTAGACATGAGAAGTTTAGGCATTGCAGTTCTGAAATGCTCGATACCAACTTTGGTCATGCTATAGTACATGTTTTCCATAATTTCTCTTTCAAAACTTTCATTTCACCTGCTCTTGACATTTCCCCATTATAAATAGAACAAATGACTTTTTCCCGGATAGAGTTGACATATTGTATAGTCGCGTACAACTTAAGAAGGCAGGAGAGGCCCCGCCCAGATGACCGAAGCGCAGCAGCCAATAGGTTCCGCGACTAAAGAAATAGTACCGCCCAAAAAGCTGTGAATGCTTCTAAAACGCGTATTTGTCGGTGTAAATACGATTTGTGTATCGTGACGAGTGCTTTGGTAAGGATGTAATGATGAAAATGCTACAGCACATGCCGGATCGCGAGAGAAAAATAACTCCGTGCCTTCTACAACGCTGTGCGTCGTTTGCTGAGGAGCAAGATCGACGGCACCGGGCATGTAATTGTAAAGCAGTCGCTGGTTTTGTAGCGTAAGATTTGCATGTACTTTTTGTGTGTTTGCACAAGCTTTTTTTGAATGTGTCAGGCTTTCTTTTTTCGAATGCGAACCTGCAATCTCGTGAGTTCACGCACGTTGGCGCACGCAGAGGTAATCAATTATGCGAGTTGCGAAACTGCGTTCCGAAATCCGGACACGCAGTTAGCCCAATTTTTGGGAAGTTAGCTGACGTTCGCGCTACCTGGGAGCAACAATACAAAACACAAGTAATGCGTTCAATAGTGGACGTGCGATTCAACAGGTGGCGCGACAACCTGCTCACTCCCGACAAGAAGCCAATGCCGTGTTCGTATTTCAATACATGGAGCCTATGGGGATTTTCCATACTCGTATGATTGAATAACTCTGTTTCGTGCAAGTTCACAGTAGATACCAAGCTTCGGCGAACTCTCCTCGTCGTAACTTCACTTAAGCGCAAATAAAACACCATGAAACAAACACACACGATGTTTGTTTGCATCGGTATGTCGCCTCGCGATCCTGTTTCCAGACGAAGCGAAGCGCAGCGTCCCCGATGTTCGCTGCTATCTCTCTTCGCTGGCTCACGACTCAGAACAAACACACGTGGCACAAATGGTGTATCGTAAGCTCACAATGATGTTTCCGGCATGACAGACCACCACACATAATTCGAAATCACTGTGATGAAGGGAGACGCACACAGCCAACGGGACTCGGCCCAATCCGAAGCGAGGACGGCCATGTTGGGCATCTTTTCCGTCGGCTGGATCCGCGGCTAGAGTGTAGTCCGGCGCATGACGTCACCTGAAGTGCGCATCTATTGGTGAAGGCTCGTGTACATCTGCCTTTGAGGGGAAAACGCCGCTGCCTTCTTAAGTTTTACTCGACTATATTTGTAACTACCATACATCTGGCTTGTCTCGTTCATTGTGTAGTAAGGGGTAAACTGAGGCATGCTTCATGCCTTCGGATACAGTAACGTACGCGACGGAATTGGGACATTACTCATGTTATGACTAGCGAGTCGTATTCGTGAAATCATTTTACTCTCCCATACTAATTTTTGTTTTCCCCAAGTTAATGGCATGATCATGAGAGCACCGAGACGTAAGCAGACAGACAGACAGACAGACAGACAGACAGACAGACAGACAGACAGACAGACAGACAGACAGACAGACAGACAGACAGACAGACAGACGGACGGACGGACGGACGGACGGACGGACGGACGGACAGACAGACAGACACAGAGACAGATGTGCAAAGTGATTCCAGTATGCAAAGAAATGCTTCACATTTAAGTGTCGACGTCGAAACACACGCCATCGCGGTGGCGGGAAAGCCATTGCTGCATAAAACGTGCAATGCATAAAACGTGAGTTGTATAAAATGTGCAATGTTCTGGTGGCGGAACAGCCATTGCATAAAGTGTGCAATGAGGGTATGGTTTCGCCTCTCTCAAGCGTCAAGCTGTTTCCCCCCGTTTTCAACCAAACCTAACCTAACCCAACCTTTGCTATGTCTGCATCTCAAATTATATTATGATTTCATTGGTTTTACTGCTTGTTGGCTTTATATGATTAGGTTTCGTAGACGTGACGGCGTGCTAAGTAACCGCATTTGATAACCTTGCATGCTCATATGCAGAAATTTAAAGTGCTTGGTGCAAATACCCATAAAAGTGAATGAAGCTGTTAGTGAACAGTAAGCGCAAACTTACCCTCCGGGTGAATGAGTGAAGCACATTGAGACATTTGTTGAACTCCCGGCCAGAAGCTGTACAGTTGTATACAAAGTCGAAGTGCAGTAAAGGCTTCATAGTTCTCTCCAAAAATAGCTCTCCAAGTCTGAAAGTTATTTTTTGGATATAAGATTCAACAGGGCTGTGAAAGAGGTGGCTGTTCGCTTTGTGAGCACAACTTTATGCATGGACTGCGTACCACACGGGGAGGACGAAAGCACACATGGATAAACAAAGGCATCTATTTAACTCAGGATGTGCGTGCATGTACTTATGAAAGACTCAAATACGATGAATAAGATGAAAGAAATTGAAGAGAGTTTGTTGACGCTGCCAAAAAAATGCTTAATTTATATCCTTATTAATATTTGGCGATATACATACCAAAACAAAAATACAAATATCAGTAATGCAGTAAGGGCGACTCCGGAAATTTCGACTCACTGGTGGTTTTTAGCGCACACTCACGTCAAGCAGTGCACGGCCCTTTAATAATCCACCCCCATCTAAATGCAGCTTTCACGGCCGATATCAAACCCGGGTCAGCAGTTGGATACCGAAAGAGCTGATCCACCGTGGAGGATTAAGCTAACTTTCCGTACTCCTGTGGCCGGCTGTATATCCCTCTCCTTGTTCCTTGATCGTGAAATGTGGGTCATTATCTCACCAGGTATATTCAACGCCGGCACGTGCTAGAATCTACAACCAAGCGCGGTGCTCGTAGGCACGTTTTGCGTTTCACAAAACGGTTACACGGTTTATGACAGGAGTATCTTCACATGCGTAGCCGCACAATGTTACACCGTGTTTACCGTACGTAAGAGGAATGGCATAAATGACATTTACCTACTTGTGGCGAATTTTGCAAAAACGTTTTCGTCTATAGCACAAGCAGTCACCTTAACTTTGGCTGAACGAAGAACTACTACAGAGTCAGTGAGAAAGTGGCAAGCAACATAGTGGGTGTCAAGCATCATATAGTTTACCAAAATGTGCGAGATGAAGATCGAACAGGCCTACGTGCCTACATCGAGCCATGGTGATCACTTGGTTGAACCCTTATATGAAGACGTAGAGTCAGCCATTACTAAAGTAAAAACACAGTATACCATTCTAATGGGCGACTCTAATGCCAAAGTAGGCAAGAAAGAGGCCGAGACTATGCAGTGGGGAATATGGCATCGCGGCTCTAGAAATGTAAGAGGGGAGTTATTCGTGGAGTTCTAAGCACGTAATAATTTATGGACCTTGAATTCTTTTTTCAGAAAATGGGCTAACCATAAATGAACTTGGTGAAGTCTGAATGGAGAAACATAAAATAAAAAATTTCACAGATACCACGTACCTGGGAATCGACGTTGTGTGGAACATGCGGAGGGAAGATGACCGTGTTACAATTTTCTTATTGAGCGTCATGTCATGAGATGACGCTAAATATATGTGCAAGTGTTGCACGCAAAGACATATATTGATTGATTGATATGCGGGGTTTAACGCCCCAAAACCACCATAAGATTATGAGAGATGCCGTAGTTAAGGGCTCCGGAAATTTCGACCACCTGGGGCTGTTTAACATGCAGCCAAATCTGAGCACACGTGCAGACATTTCTGCCTCCATAGGAAATGAAGTCGCCGCCGCCGAAATTCGATCCCGCGACCTGCGGGTCAGCAGCCGAGTACTTTAGTCACTAGACCACCGCGGCGGGGCGGGAATCAAAGAAAGCCCTAAAAGGAATGCAAAGATGCAAAGCCGCTGGTGAGAATAAGGTAATGGACCTGCTGAAACATTGCGGAGAACTTGTGTTCGAAAAACTGGCCAGCTTATACACGATGTTTCTCTTGACGGGAAGGGTACCAGAATTTAGGAAAAATGCCAACATCATTTTATACCATAAGAATGGAGACGCCAAGGACTTGAAAGCTTACAGGCCAACTGCTTACTGACAAAAATGATAGAATTAGGGCAACAATAAAGTTCAGTCAAGCAGAGTACTAAGCAGGAGTTTGTACAGGCTACTTCACAATAGCCATACTGATATTCTCAATCACGTATTAGAGAAATGCGCGGAATACAACCAACCCCTATACATAGCTTTCATAGATTACGAGAAGGTACGTGTTTGACTCAATCGACACATCAGCAGTAATGCAGGCACCACAGAATCAGGGCATCAACGAACCCTGGATAAGCGTACTGGAAGAATTATACAGGGAATTCACAGCCACGATAGTTATTCATAAAGAAAGCGACAGACTCCCATTAAAGGAGAGTGTACGGCAGGGAGATACAATCTCTCGAATGCTGTTCACCGCTTGTTTACAGAACGTTTTCCGGGTGCTAGATTGGGAAGAGTTAGGGATAAGACTTAGTGGAGAGTATCTTATTAACTTGGGATTCACTTATGACAATGCCTCAATGTAACTCAGGGGACAAATTACAGCGCATGATTACTGAACTTGACACGAAAAGCAGAACAGTAGGTCTCGAAATCAATATGCACAAAACTAAAGTAATGTGCAACAGTATCGGCAGAACACAGCAGTTCGCAATAGGTGAAGATACGCTGGCAATTGTAGATGAGTATGTCTACTTAGGACAGGTAGTAACTGCGAAGCCTAACTATCTGAGTGAAAAAAGTAGAGGAATAACGAAAGGGTGGATGACATTCGGCAACCATTATCAAATTATGACTGGTAGACTGCCACTATCCCTCAAGAGGAAGGCATATACCAGCTTTATCTTGCCGGTACTTATCCACGCACAAAAACCTTAAGACTTACAAAGAGGGTTCAGCTGAAATTAGGACGACACAGCGCGTGATGGAAATGAAAATGATACGTGTAACCTACGAGACAAGAAGAGAGGAGAGTGGGTAATGGAAGAAACTAGGGTTAAGGATATCATAGTTGAAATCAAGAAGAAGAAATGCACACTGACAAGGCACGTAGCACATAGGGAGGATAACCACTGGTCAATAAAGGTAACTGACTAGATTCCCAGAGAAAGCAAACGCACGAAGGCGAGACAGAAATTTAGGAGGGCTGATGAGATCAAAACATTCGCAGGTATATAACATGGCAACAGAAAGCGGAAGACCGGGTTGATTGGCGAATCATGGGAGCCTTGCAGAGGGCGTCGTCAGGCTGATGGGGATAATAATGATGATGAACGAAGAACAACACTTTCCTGCCGTGTCCAGCTCCAGCTATTTTTAGGTACCAGCGACTATGACTTCGCTTCTTCTTATACAATTATTAGTTATTTGGCCAATTTTACGCAGATTCATAGCAATGTGACTTTTTTATTTCCATTTTACTTCAATTGATGCAACTCTATGTTACGGTTGTGGTCAAATGTAAAAGAGGGGGGGGGTTGACTTAGCGCAATGAAAACAATTAGCCTCTTCGGAAGAGCAGGCTGACCATGTCAGTCCGCTGACAGCAGCCAAAAATCCGGAGCCTTATAGCGTAATTTTCATTGTAGTCATGTTTATATCTTTTGGTATAAAATTCCTGTGAAAAAATACTTTTGAAGAACACAAAGGAAGCAAGTCATCAGATTTGCATTCGTTTTTTACTTATTTAGCGTGGTTCAGAGATGCGCAGTACAAACGTATCTTGTGCTGATCTAAAATAAGCACAGTCAGAGCAGAATCGTATTTCTCGATGACTCTATAGCCTTCAGAAAAAATTGTTGAAACGTTTTCCTTTTTAGCAACCGTTGTATTTGGAAGTTTCGTCTTAGCTTTGTTTAGCATGTGAACTATTTAACCTTTCCGAAGAAATCCTCAAACTCGAAAAGCGTCGGTACCTGTTTACAGCAGCTACGTATGGGCTGTTCTCATTGCTCTGAGCTGATATGGACGTTCCCATAATTGTTTCTGCAAAAGAGACAGTTCAACAGACTCTCACCAAGAAGAAACCAACAAGAATAAGAAAAAAAACTATTACTGTTCGAAAAATAAGTATACCTACCGCAGATAATGTCCAAAGTGCAAAGGGTGACCTCGGGAACGATGTTGAAGTTGGCTTTACTCTGAGAGAGCTTTTCCAGTTTGTCGCAGAGAATGAACGACTGGGCATTAATTGTGGCTGAGAAGTCTTCCAGTATCTTAAAATGAAACGCTGGTGTGAAAAGACGCCTCCGTGAACGCCACTTGTCACCTGAGCTATTCGTGGAGAAAAACAAGCAAGTAAGTGATACTTTTGTACCAACTTAACACTGGCTTGCTGCCTTGAATGATCAGCGCGCTCGTTGATGTTAAGCTGTAAAATGGCACTTGGTACACGGATGCGTAAAATGCGTCTGGGCACTTTAAGGAAGCATGAAACTGGTGTCTGGTGTCGTCGTGATGTAATCTTCGTTGCAGACAACACAAGTGTTGCATATGAGTTTTTTGCTTTTGTTTTGTTGTCCTAGTATATACCATAGATTACGGCGATTGCCGGTGTATAGCTGGACAGTCTCAGCAGGCATCTTGAAACAGCAAAAAAAAGTATTGGAGTATTTCTTCCTCTCATGAGCTTTACCATAACTAACTTCGCACTGCCGATAAGCGCCTGTACGCCAGAGGTGCATATTCTGACTACAACAATCCGAGTCGGTGCAAAATTCTTCTTCAAGCCTTAATGGCGTTTTGATTTCACCCCAAAGCATCACTGCTTTATTCATTAAACAGAATTTCCTTTTCGTTATTTTTCAGTAGTCAGCGCTAACGCCCTCTTTTGCCCTGTATTGCGTCGGAACTTCAATCAGGGATAAGAGCCCAATAAACATCATCGCGCTTAACTTGAAAAAAAATCAGGTGCTTCAATAAATATAGATGCCTCATTACTGCCACTCATTTGCTTTCATGGCTGAAGATAAGAACACGGTGAGGTCAGAACATATACCAAGTTTTGCGATAAGCCACTTTCAGTTCTGTAGTGAAGCAAACGGGCTGTACAGTGGAGTTTATCGTAAAGCCACGGCAGCACACTTTCCAATGAGCGAGGAAGCCATACCTTGTGAGCAAACCAGTTCCAAGCCAACTGTGCAGAAGGTTATATTGGGTGCCTTTCGCCAAAAGCTTGTTGCTCGACAGTATTTCCTGCAAGCGTGTAACATCGCGTGAGGCTATACTGCATACGTTTTTCCGATTTGCGAAAACCATAAATATTGAGTCCTCACTGAGTCTCAGCTGTCAGATGAATAATTACTTTTCCTGGATAAGAAAACAATTTGTATGCAATGTATTACCCCACAATGCACACAGGACAAATTTTCGCACCCGATAGGCTATTTCAGTTCGGACACGCACAGTATGTCACGGTTGGTCAAACTGAAGGTACACATCAAGTTATGCACTTAGACAGGCGTTTATTCCGTATTTTATAATAGGCTGTCTTAACGAATCCGAAGCTTTTGTTGCTTTATTTGCTTACTTACAAAAATATTATAAAAGACGCCAATAGCAACCATGAACATACCTCTACATATTCAGCTTTGTACATCGTCAGTATAGGCGTGAATCCTGCGTAGACCAGGTGTCTGCCAAACCTCTGGAATCTGGCATGGAGGCCGCAAATTGCGGAGAAGATCACTGCGCAATAACGAGAGGAAAATACGTGAATAAATTTCGAAGGCGCGCAGCGTACCAGTGTGATTCATACGCGTGTGTCTAAATCCCGCGTATTACCATGCGGAGCACAAAACGAAGTAGACTTGTTTCACTGTAGTACGTTTGTGCTAGCAGCATTCTCTTTTCACTACTCTGAATTTTCCTTCCCTCGCCATGGTAGCCTAGCAGCTTCCAAGTTCTAGGATATTTGGGCTTTGCCATCCGCAAAAACCTAGGGCTCTTATATATTCTCGAGGACGCGGGGTTTAATTGGCAGCCACATGTAGATAGGAGCAACATGCCAGAACACGCGTTCTCTTGCATTTAGGCGCGTGTTAAAAAGAAGCAGTGCGGCGTGTCTTATAATTACCTCACCGTTTTGACCCGTAGAATCCCCGAAATCATTTATTTCTTCCTGCTTACGAAAATTACGGCTCGGAAATTATCCCAATATGTTTCCCAATTTTCGAAGCAGATGAGCTTCGCAAGCCAAAGGAAACACAGTAAAAGCATGAACAAATCACCGCTTACCCTTTCAACAAGAAACAGTGCCACATTTCACGCCTTGTGGGAATCTATGAAATGCGAAGCAGCCCGCTAGGAGCAAATGATGCCATAGATAATATGTATATCATGATTTACAAGCTAGGACCTGTCATCGGTGTTAGTCATACGTCACCCGATACCAATGCTGGTGTATATCAAGCTTGTGAACCGGTTGCCAGTGCGTTAGGAGCGTGGTATGCAGATCATGACGAACATGCAACGCATGTAATGACGGTTATGTTACCCCCTGCCACTCATGTTCGGCATAGAGTCACTTCGCGCAATGTCAGTTTTGTCACCGAGCTAACGAAATAACCGTGAGCGCACACTACCATTTATGTTTGTCATACTCATGTCCCGCAATACCAAGTTTGTTGTACATCAAGCTAACGAAACGGCCTCGAGCACACTCTGAGTATAATCTCATAATTTTCATATTACCACTTGTCATTTAGGTTGATCATAGAGGCAGCCCGCGCAGTACTAATTATTCTACGTATAAAACAAGCCAAACAGCCGTGAATGTGCTATGAGCGTGGCGTGTAACTCATGTTGTACATGACATGAATGTCGCTATCTTCATTTTGCATCTGTCATTTATGTTCGCCATGCAATCACGCCGCGTAATGGCAGTCTTCCTGTATATCAAACTAGGTAACAGGATGTGAGCTCACCATAGCCATGGCATGTAAATCATGCTGTACGTAAATTTAACGTTATTATTGTGTTGTTACGACATGTAATTGTCGGTTTACACACACGTCAGCAATACCAAATTTGGAGCATATCAAACTAACTAAACAGATATGAATGCACTATGAGCATTACACATAGTCATGTTATACATGACATGCCCGTCATGGTTTTTCCCCTTCCCACCAGAAATTTATGTTAGTTATGCAGAAAGGTCTCGTAATAATTATTTTGGTACATATCAAGTTTACGAACGGCCGCTTGGGCACCACGGCCATGGCATGTAAACCAAGACGTCCCTGTCAAGTCACAATTTTCTTGATATGACCAGTCATTTATGTTCGTCATTCAGTCCTATTATTCTATACCAACTTTGCTATAAATCCTATTAATAGCAAAGTTGTAAATAAGAAAAAAGAAAAGTGGATGAAAAAATTACCATCTGTGAGCAGGAATCGAACCTACGACCTTCGAATAACGCGTTCGATGCTCTAACCACTGAGCTCAGTGGTTAGAGCATCGAACGCGTTATTTGAAGGTCGTAGGTTTGATTCCTGCTCACAGCTGGTAATTTTTTCATCCACTTTTCTTTCTTATTTACATTCCATTGGTTCTAATAACTTCCCCTGTACATTCCTTGGCATTACTGTCTGTTATATATATATATATATATATATATATATATATATATATATATATATATATATATATATATATATGAGATCTAACAGACAATAATGCTCAGGAAAGTATAGGGAAGATATTAGAAGTGGCGGAGGGGATGGCTGTCGTGGTAGCTCAACTGGTAGAGCATCGAACGCGTCATTCGAAGAGGCACTGCGCCGTACTCCCGACCGGGTTGCAGAAATTAGGTGCCTTTTCTCATCTTCTAACCACTACCACCACCATTCGAAGGTCACAGGTTCGGATCCTGCCCATGGCAAGTTATCCTTTCACCCACTTTTCTTTCTTCATGTTTACTTTAGAATTCGGTCTAACATCTTCTCCTATACTTTCCTGGGCATTATTGTCTGTTAGATCTCATTAATATTGTGTAAAAACACGGAGAAACGAGCCCTTAAGTATACACTTCTTTTCTTAGTTCATTAACGAGGGTCTCGTACTGGCAGACTTAGTGCCTTGAGGTTCTATACGAGGGAATATTGGTCAGCTGCCCACTCGTAATAAGTTCTCGTGTTACGTGACGCCAAACAGGTTCAAAAAGAGTGTGCCACACTCGCCACCATGGCTACTGGTGGCACTGACTGACACTCCCACGTTTAATTCGCATATAAACCCAATACAGTGGCTGGGTGGATGGCTGTCGTGGTAGCTCAGTGGTAGAGCATCGAACGCGTCATTCGAAGGTCGCAGGTTCGGATCCTGCCCACGGCAAGTTATCTTTTCACCCACTTTTCTTTTTTCATATTTACATTGCGATTCGGTCTAATATTTACCCCTATACTTTCCTGGGCATTATTGTCTGTTAGATCTCATTAATATTGTGTAAAAACACGGAAAAACGAGCCCTTAAGTATACACTCCTTTATATATATATATGTATATATATATATATATATATATATGGCACAAATATCACACTTATCTTACGCCTTGTTCTAGAATACGAACGTGTGGGTTTTAATATCTTGTCATGTTTTAAGTGTGAATACACTTTATAAGCGACCCCAAACCATCCACCGCCGTCGGCGGCGTCCGCAGTCTTCTCTCTATCTTTAAAAGAAAGAGGACTTGGCGGGCCGCAGCGCGACGCTCTACCGAATAAGCCACGGACGCGACGCTGATATCGGTGTCAGTAACGCGCCTTATACCCCCTCCCCCTTCGCTCGCTCCTGCGCTCTCCTCGCTCGCTTCAACTGCGCGCGCACCCCTCTCTCTCGTTCGCCTGCCTTCTCTCTCAGTCTCCCGTCGAGAGCGGGTCGTGACGGGAAGTAAAGTCAAAATCCGTTGGCATTCGCCAGTGAGTTAACGTAAACTCCCCCGTGTGATCAAATGGCGATTCCCAGAAACCATTAAACCATAAAGGCACCATAGTGTGATTAATAAATATAATAGTGCGAATTAATAAATACCCCTCATAGCATCACCCCGTATATTTGCACTTAACCATGTTCACCCTCGGGGAAATGCTTGGGAGTTTTTTTTTTTTTCAAAGTATGAGCCTCTTTCTAAACTGCGTGCATAACTAGCCGCAATAAGTCATTACCTTGAGCTCAAACACAGGTGGACAGAATTAAGAAAACGCCCTCATCAATAGTTTATACCCCAAAGAATTAAAAAAAACGTGACGTTAGCTACATCAAATGCGTAAAATTTTGCTGTTAACCAGCAAAGTTTATAGGCTATCCCAGCACGCGACCGAAACGGGCCTCTTCGTGACATTTCCGCTACATAGGGGCCGATCGACAACAGCGCTACACCCAATATCATGTTGAGCGAACGTATTCTCCACCTTACACTTTCAAGTACGGGTTGCGCGGCAACCGTGGCTACGTGAGTATATCTCGAGACAAGTCTACCAGCATAACTGTTATCAGCCGCAATCATTTCTCACATAACGATGTCTAAGAATTTGTGATAACTATCCGACGGCACACTGTTGAAAGCACGCCGCGGTACCTTCGATTCAGCTATCACAGTAGAAGTGAGACGCTGATACCGCAGATAAGCGCTTTTTACAAAAATAACGAAGTAACATTGTTATGCGCAGGCTGTAAACATGCGATACACAAGTGACTAATCCCAAAGTCCTTCAATGCTTTTTCTATGATCACAGCCACTGTCGCCTTACTTTCATGGAGCCAAAGGCCGCGGCCAGAGGGGCAGCTGTGCATGAAAGGGCATGCGAACGGTGCTATCGCTACACCAAATTACCATATGGTTATAAAGCATGGGGGGCTGGGAGAGTCCATATTCATCTAAAGCCCTCGAGCAAATCAAAGTACATGGTCATTTCTTTCTCAATTTTTGTTTCCTTTTGTTCACCCCGAGCGAAATTCTGCCGCCATGGCCTAGTGAGCGTCACTAATGCTGACAGTTTAAAAGGTTTCCCTTTTCAATATTTTAGTAAAATTGAATGCTGCGCAGTCACAACAGTGGCCGAGTGCGGTCACTTGCAAAAAGAGGCAAAAAGTTTAGCTAATGCATCCACAATAACGAGTACGAAATCGCAATTCATTGATTGGGCAATGACCTGACTGTTTGCCCAGCGTGGCCGCTCAATGTTCTGTGAATCTGTGAGAAGTGGTTTAACCGAAGAGCAAGAAATAATTACTTCAAAGGCTGATTTTTTAGAGTGACTTCGCCTAATGACTAATAAACGAAAACTGAGGCAGTTTGCGAACTATAAATTTCGCGCCAATGCGCGAAATGCCTGCATTTAAGCAATCCTGAACAAGGAATTGGAACCACAAACAACGATAACGTCCGAGGCATCAATTTGTTTCGCGCATGTACCTGGGCATATCAATTCAAAATTCAAATTAAGGCTCTCTAGAAGCGTCATAGGGTTCATTTCCATATCTCGGGCTGCTACTCATTACTCGGTAAACCAAATGCGCATTGAGGTTGTTCTTTTGTAAACAGAACCACCCGCCGACCCATAAAACGTGTTCGTGGTGTCGTCGTCCCACACCAACATTTGAGTTGTGTGAAATAACGCCTAGGATGCACAAAAAGCACCCCAGCTATCATCACGTGTCGCACCATGCAAGCGTTTCAGTACGTGAAGGATGCCCTATGTGGCGCAGTGTTGCCACGTCGCGGCACCTTCAGGCAGAATATGAATCTTCTTTTTAGTAACTAGTAGAGTGACGGCAAACTTGCAAGACCCTGAAAACTATTACAGCACTCTGATAACATGAAGACCTGTTTCCGGTTCAGCGGCTGTGATCGACGGCAAGTGACGCACCGCTATACAGGGCGGACAGGCAATTTGGCAAGCGCTCGTGTGGTCCGTGAATTTTTTCGTTCACTGTGTGCATTGATCTTGCAATACGTTGAGCTTGCAGAAAAATAGTAAACTCAGAGGTGAGCACTGAAAGCTGTGAAAAATGTGGTTGATCCCTCTTCTAGGATACGGTATAACTCGAAAGTGAAACGTGCCTTTACAAAGATAGTGGAGCGTTTTTTTGGGTACTACTTCGCCAAAAGGGAGAAGGAACAAATGCTAAATCAAAGAATTACAAAATCACGTTCAGAATGACAACCAGCTTGAAACTTCGAGAGCGCACCTCAAGCAGAAAATACGCACGAAATGAGCATACACAAGAAGTGCGCGGACTAGCAACTGTCACAGCTGTCAAATTAAACAGAAAAGAGGGCTTGCGAAACGAACGCCCCAGTATACACCGGACAAGCGTGAGCAACTGTCACAATTTTTACTTCTTGGTGAGAGAGCATCGTGCTCCTTTCGTAGACGCGGCCACGGCAGCGAGCGTAGTGACCTTCGTGCTATCCCGAATCACGAGTCTGATAATCGCGTGCGCAGGAGAGACCACGCTGTGCAGAGGCGGCATCGAAATGCTTGAGGCGACGAGCTTGAGAGCGCGCCCACCGCGAGACCTTCATACCATCTGGCTACTGATGAGAAAAACGCGCTGAAAGTACGAAACACTCACGACCACCAAACGGGATATCGTGTATATAAACAACTTGTCGTTAGCACTGTTAACAACGTACGTTCCGTGGTGTAGTGATTAACGCCTCCCGCTGAGGTTTGAGAGGTCACTGGTTTGATGCCCCGTGGCAGATCCGTTCCTTCTTGTTTTTTTTTTCGCAATCCGCTGAATGATATTTTACAACGTCATATCCGTGACGGAATTACGTCAGCGGAGCCGCGGTAAACCCCGGCATAAAACACTTTCGTGTTAAAAGTGGGTACGCTGTTTCTCACACGCTATTTTCGTCAGTGACACTCGTCTGAAAGAAACACTTGGTCACCCTTCAGCTGCTCGCATTTCCCTGCTTTTGTACATAATTGATCCGTGGTCTTTTTCAATCTGATGTAGGTGAAAAACACTGTTGTCTCGAGTTTTAAGAAGGTGCTTTGAAATGTCGCTTATGCACAATTTTTCTGCTTGCTAAAATAGCTGGCCGTATACGATGCCAGAAATGCAGGTTTGTTCAGACATTGATAACTGTGAAAGATATTGTCTAGGAGCAGCATCTACAGTAAACTTTAATGCCTTGTTTGTGAGAAAGTTTGTTGCAATCTGGCTATCAATACTGCAACAAAGTATACTCATACACACTTGTACTAATTTTCCAAATGTAACAGTAGGTGACAGGCAGTTCTAAGAAGCAATGTAAATTGCGTCGAAGCGTCCAAAATGGCCATCAAAATTTAGCGGTCGATGCTGTGCGATTCGAATGTTACATGTCTTTTTACATTGCGCCGCATGTTCAATGCGTATCGGATGGCTCGTTTGTAGTTTGCACTTACTTCTCTATTTCTATAAATATTCCGTGGTCTTTCCGCAATCCTGTGTGAATGGAATGTGCGTATACGGTTTACCCGTCAACACTGCTTAGCTGAGACATGCTCTTCCCACCAGATAATAGAAATGAGTACAGTAATATTTCCAGACGTATTCTTGAATTTTGCTAGGGACTCACCGGGATGAGAAATTGTTGAACAGAGAACGTAAATGGAGTTGAAAGGTTTCTGGAAGAACCAGTTGGTACATAATACTGAGGAGAACAGCGCAAAAAAACGGGACGCAGGAAAGACCTAAAATTTCTGTCACCCTTTACGTGCACGGTGTGAGCCATGCACTCAAGAAGGTTGTTAGCAAGGCATGCGTGAGACTCGTCTGCTCGGCTCCTCGCAAGCTCAGCCACCGTTGCAAGAAAGTGAACGATGACAATCCCAAGGAGCATGCGTGCGTCAAGAAATACAGGACGCATTACGTTGAGTGTGTGAGCAATGCAGTGTACGATATTCCGTTGTCCTGTGGTCTGTCCTATACTGGACACACCGGTCGGTGTTTGAACGAACGCCTGAGAGAGCACGCATATTATCGCAGGACATCAGCAGGCAGCACCTTGGCAGCCCATTGCTCCTCGTGCAGCTGCGGCCCGCTCTTTCATGAATGTAAAATACTATGAAGTTATCGTAACAAGCAGAGCGCGCAATCAACGAGGCTTTTTATATCAAGACGAAAGGGAACACGTGCGTCAGTGAGTCTTCACTCGCCCTCCTGGAAAAAGAGACAGCGCTTGTGTCGTGTCGTGTCGTGTCGTGTTGTGTGTGTGTGTGTGTGTGTGTGTGTGTGCGTGCGTGCGTGCGTGCGTGTGTGTGGGTGCGTGCGTGCGTGTGTGGGTGCGTGTGTGTGTGTGTGTGTGTGTGTGTGTGTGTGTGTGTGTGTGTGTGTGTGTGTGTGTGTGTGTGTGTGTGTGTGTGTGTGTGTGTGTTTAGGGTGGTCAATCTTTCTCTGTCCCGTTTTTTGCGCTGTTACCCTCAGTAGGTGGAGTTGATTTCCTGTTCAGCAACTTCAGTCTCCACGTTTCCCTCAACTTCTGTTTAGAGGCCCATGCAGCAAAGGCACACTCCAGAAAAATGCATAATTTCTGACGTGGCGTTAGAGCTAGTAGTTATTTACCTTGACGCAAATGCCCGTATATCAAAGCCCACGAAGTCCCGCGAAGATATGAAATTCAACAAGATTGGCCTCCTCTACTAAAAGTTTCATCACTCCGCGTGCTGCTAGATGGTATCATCATCTAAGAGTATACGCATGCAGATGACAATATTTACAGGAATATCAAGTGTTTCCTCTCGTTGACTGAGAGCTTGTAAGCGAATGCTCCTGCCAAAAAAATTGCATTGGTCCTTTTGCCGAATGATGAATGTCGTATTCAATTTCGATTTTGTTTCCGTTCTTGAACTCACTATGAGGCACATTTATTCATTGCTATGAAAATATGTACACTGTAAACACTACCGTGTACAATACACATTGGGACGCCGCGAGGTCGACCCCCTACCTTAGACATTACAATAAACCTTGCTGTCGTACTCAAGCGCGTAACCTAAACAGCACCATTAAAGTTTATAATCACAAGCATCGCCGAGTTCTAGCAAGTTTCAGTTTATTATGTATAAAATGTACCTCATTGCAATGAAACGCCCAGTTATGAAAAGTAATCACAACTACATTGATGTGTTAGAGCTCCGTTTTCATGAGGACCGAGAAATTGGCTTGTCAAAAACACACCTGTGGTCTTCTTTAGTGTTGTTTTGTGACAAATTAAAAAAAAACGCGCTTACACGTGCTGAATCCGATGGGTGAGTCGGATGGTGAGGAGGCCTTGAACATTATCCATAGTCCTTGAAAAGGCACCTGCTCTTTGCGGTGAGGTAGGTGCTTGAGATGCTTGTAAGTTCGCCAGTGTACCCTTCGGGCAATCCAGGCGATCACTCCAACGAATAGAAGAGCACTGACGAGAGTCAATGCAGCGCCATGGACAAAGCACGTGGCAAGTTCAAGGACACCGGTTGCCGTGAGATAATCAACCATAATTGATGTGTCTGCTGCAAGCAAGTGCAAAGAAAAAGAAAAAGTATATTGTAAATTTAGGTGAAGCGTATACTTTTTTGTATCACGCTGTTCTCGAGTCTGTCATCTTTTTGTTTCCACACTAACCATGGTGGCGTCATTTTGTGCAGTTGTTTTAAAGCTGCACAAACGGTATCAAGACAAGCGACTTTTGTTCAAGATCGGCTCAAGCATGTACGTCAATTTTCCCGTTTGTAGCATAGCGTTTTACAGCGAAAGCTCTATGCATGGCTAGTAGAAAGGGGAAAAAATCACTGCTCAAACAATCCATACAAGCCCCGCCATGGTGGTCTAGTGGCTAAGGTACTCGGCTGCTGACCCGCAGGTCGCGGGATCGAATCCCGGCTGCGGCGGCTGCATTTCTGATGGAGGCGGAAATGTTGTAGGCCCGTTTGCTCATGTTTGGGTGCACGTTAAAGAACCCCAGGTGGTAGAAATTCCCGGCGCTCTCCACTACGGCGTCTCTCATAGTCATATCATGGTTTTGGAACGTTAAATTCCACTAATAAATCAAACACTCCATACAAATGGTTAACTAGTGAAAGCTGGAACGTGCGGCACCGGCGTATAGCGGTAGGTTCAACCCGACGTGACACTTAAGCCTTGCACAATAATTGGTTACAAGTTCGTGGTTCCTAATGAGGTTAGACACACGTTTGACTTGGATTTAACACAGTGTTTATTTTGCATACCACACATTGTGCATCGAATCATCACGGACGTGAAGGAGTGTATATGAGTGGTTAAATACTTTTCGCAATGCGTGAATCAAAGTGGTTGATTTCGAACCACTCGGGGTTACAGACATCAAAGCTGAAGCCAAAATGCCTCCGGAGAAACTCCCACCAAAAAGGGTGTTCACCTCGGCGAACGCTCTCCCGCCGTCATCACATTGACGCCGCAACACCAGTTTTTCAGCGTTGATTAATATATGGGGTTAACCATCGAAAAACCACAATGTTATTATGAGAGACACCGTAGTGGAGGCCTCCAGAAAATTTAATCACCTGCGGTCCTTTAACGTGCACCAAAGTCTCAGCACAAGGGCCTACAGCATTTTCGCCTGCATCGAAAAGGCAGCCGCCTCAACCGTAATCCGAGTACCTTAGCTTCTAGACCACCGCGGGGAGGCTCTTGTTCAGTGTATACGCACTGCGCCGTGTCGCTTATAGCCACAAAGAAATAAGGTACCTTTTTCCCCTTTTCAAGAACCACGCATTCATTGTTGGACGTGGCGTTCTTGCATGCGTTTGACATCGCGCGCAAGCAGCTGCGGCGTGGTTTGCATGGTCCGCCTTTCACCTGCGCCTGCAGTACCGTTTGTGATTTGGCGTGGCTTCGAAGGCTTCATCGGTACGCAATTGCTGCAGGCACTCGGCTTCCAGGACCCGTTTTTGTGCCAGCACTGCACCATCGGCCCGGCAGATGTGAGCTCTCTCACGTTCTCACTCTCGTTTCTTTTCTAGAGTAGTCCATGGCATACGCATACGGAAGGTTTCAGTGTAAACTGATGCGCGTGTGCTCGGTTGCGACAAGATGAATGATGCCACGCACAACGCAGTCAATGACACACGTGCTTGGATACGATGCTGAGAATGACGTAACTTATAGGACAGCCAATGGAGACTGCTCGCTGCACAGCTGCCGGACGTCTTTTGGTTTATCCTAGCCATATAGAGCTTTCGCTGTAAAACAGGCCGGAAACGGTGTCACGAGCAATCTTCATTGGCTGTACTATCAAAACACGGTGTTCTCTGCGTCGTGCCCACGCACCCACGCCTTTGGCTATGTTGTGAGTGACGTTGTCCGTCCCCTCGCAGCCGGGACGCCGAGCACGCGCGCATGAGTTTCTACTGAGACCTCCCACAAGTTTAACCCACGGACAACTCTAGAAGAGCGCCGCCAGTGGAAACGTGAAAAAGCTGACATTTCGCGCGGGCCGATGGTGCAGTCCTAACCCAAAAACAAGCCCTAGAGGCTGAGTGCCGGCAGCAACTGCGTACCGGTGATACGGCAGCCTTTCAAGCCGCGCTAAATTGCGAACGCGAATGCAAGCACTGGTGGCGGGCGGATCCTGCTAACCGCGCTACCGAGTTGGCGATTGAAAACGCCTGCAACAACGCCGCGCCAAAGCGCCGTTGCGGGCATGACAGCGTGAACGTGACAATTGCGGGAGCGTGTTTGCTGGGGCGGACGTCCAATTTCGGTGGGAGTTTCTGGAGCAATACTTTGGCTTCAGCTGCGATGTCTATGACCACCAGTGGTCGAGAACCACTGTGATTAACGCACTGCAAAACGCATTCAATGGATCATTACACTCCTTCATGACCATGATCATGCAAGGCGCAATGTGTGGCATGTGAAATAAACACTTCAGTAAACCCCAGCCAAACATGTGTCTAACGTAATTAAAAGCAGAAACATGTAACCAATTATTGTGAAATGCGTCAGTGCAGCGTCGGGTGGAACCCACTGCAAACACCGGAGCAGCGCGTTTTAGCTTTCGCTAGTTAAGCATTTCTGCGGAGTGCTTAAGCTGTGATTTGTTTTTTGAAGAAGCAAATCCTCGCATACTTTTTGTGCATCCAACTTAATACGATACCATGCGTCGTACAGCGAGAGCTACAACTTCGAAGAGGCATAAAAGAAACGGGCAATATGTAACATATATAGGCTATATACTGGCGCGGAGATCAGGTGTCTCAAATGGCTCGCTTGCACGAAGGAAAATATAAATGTATGTGACCTAGTTCAACCTGCACTGGCCCCACACACAGGCACACATATTAGCGCATGTGAACGCGCGCATTAGGGAGTCCCAAATGAGCACATAAATTAACTGCAATGTGATTGATTGATGTATAGGGTTTAGCATCCCAAAACCATCATAATATTATGAGATACGCCGTAAAAGAGGGCGGCGAAAAGTTTGACCACCTGGGGTTCTTTAACGTGCACCCAAATCTGAGCACATAAACCTACAGCATTTTTGCTTCCATCGAAAATGCAGCCGCCGTAGCCGGGACTCTACCCCGTGACCTGCGTGTGAGCAGCCGAGTATCTTAACCACTACACCACCACAGCAGGGCAATTGCGATGTGCTACAGCAACGCACATCCCAATGCTGCTTAAAGTGCAGATTTGGTGCACCTTTAGTGCAGCTGAGACTGCAGCACTTCCAGGCTTCATCGAATCGAACAACAACATTCATTTGCACTTCTAAGATTTGAGGCGAAACATACTACCCGCGTTCTTGAGTACTTCCATTGCTTTTTTGTTTCTTTCTCGCTCGCCATTCAGCAAAGGCAGACAGTTGCTCCCGCAAAGGGTGGGTCAAAAGAGTGTCACTGACAAGCAAAATAATCGGCATTCATCTCTGTTTACATAATTTGCCTGCGATATCATGAAGCTTGGACCCTCCTTTTCAGCTACATATCCAGTCCAACCTGCTCTGACTCAGCTCTGCTCTGCTGGTCCATTTCTGGCATAGATGGGCATTCTCGAGGATTATTCATTTATCGGTGGTATCGCTGACATAAACCTTGAGGGTGCAGTGAAACAATCACGCAGCTTTTTCACTAGTGCACCCGTTTAGATTTCGAAAGAGCAGAGCTCCCAGCAGTACTAAACTCTAATTACGGTAACTTTTGCAAAGGTGCACATTTTTTACCTTTTTGGTCACCTACAACTAAAAAATTACATCTCTGTAACTTTTAATTTTTCAAGTTTTTGTAATCTTAGATCGGTAAATGTTACTTTTTGTTTATATAGGTTGTTTGTTATAACACGTGTAACCCTTGTATAGCGCAATGGTGCCAATAAAAGGACCTTTATTAAAACATCGCAGACATAGGCTCAAGCCCGTCATACTGTACTGTGCGGGAGTGTTCTTGACACTCAGGAATATTATTTAGTCAAGAAAAAGTAAAAAAAACAATATGAACCACTACGTCAGGTTTGTACTGAGAAATGCTTATGTACTTCAATATCACACGAAATGGACGCAGGCACACAATGTATCGCGACTTCTTGAGTTTGGAATGCAACAAACAAAACCAGGGTATATAAATGTCCACGTATATTGTAAAGGTGGCATAATGCTATGATAGCGTTAATGTTATAGTGAACAGGCAGCGCGCAGCAAGTATCCATAACAGAAAGTGCGGGTGCATAGCTATATGAAGGATGGTGCAATTTTAGGTCATAGTATACATCTGTATTTTTAGTGTGAAATAATAAAACGTGATCAACACGTAGCTCAAAAAGCAAGAACGTCATATGACGTATTAATTCAACAAAAGCTTGCCGAACACCATTTTGAATACTCATTACATTTACAAAAAAGTAGAAATCGTTCGCTTGCGACCAATATATGTAAATAAGAAAAGGTACAATGATGTAAAACAGGTGCTGAGACAGCTTCACTTTTGTGTGACAAGTACTGTAAGCATACAGACGGTACAAAACAGACGATTCCATACAGAAACGAGACTTTTGTCACACTGCTTGAGGTATGAGCCCAAATCTCAGAATTTTTTATAAAAAGCAATAATAACTACAAATTATTAGTATAAAATATAAGGCACATCTTTTTAGGCACATGTGAGCATCATAATGCAAGTCCCATTTTTAGCTAATTTTAATAATTAAATATCATTAATTGTGGGACTTACGCCAACAGTTCTAACTCGATTAGCTCTGTATAAACTTTTTATTTTTCCTAGGTAGATGAACAAAGTTTGCGGCCGTGCAATTAACTAAAACAGATGAAATATCTTGAATACGAAGACTATAGTGATTAAATAACCAAAAATGTATGCACTTGTACCAGGAGCACCTTAGTATAACAGGTAGCCATAATTATTCTTGTGGTGCAATTTTCCTTCTTGCATTGCATGAAACATCTAGTAGTGTGATGAAGAATTGTGCCAAGTTTATGAAAAATGTTCATTAGCAAAATTGTTATGAGAATTTA